CGGACGACCTTTTCCTCGACGTTTTTCCAATTTCAAATAAATCTATTATTTACATCCACAGCTACAAAATATGGTACGAAAACGTCATGTATTTTATCAGCTGATGGATATGTATTATGTTGAGAACACCACGAATATAATTCTTCACTGGATTTTATGCGACAACGCTTTTGTTGTTGTTTATATTCAATGCACTTTTCATTTTTGAATCAATGGAAAGATCTGGATGTAATACTTTAATTACCTTTTTAATTTGTACAACTGTTAATCCATTATCTGTCATTTGACGAATATTGTCACGAATAAGTGATAATAAACGATTACTATCAGTGCGTTGTTGATGATTATGAAATGATGAGGAATATAATCGATAAGTTACATCTACATGTTGTTTGCCTTTTAACTGATATGAACATGCAGGAAATTTTTTATATTCTGTACATTTGTATGTTATTGATAGATAATTCTTGCATGATTCAGTACGATATGTACAAACATTATGTTGCTTAATTAATATTGAAAGATAATTTTTATTAATGACCTCTGGCCAAGTTCGACGAGACATGGCAGAAGACAATAGAAAAAATAATGCTTTGATTTTTATATGACACTTTCATTTTTATTATTATTTTTAGTTGTTCTTATTTGACACAAATGATCGTATTAAACAATTTTTTTAATTGATGAGTAATTAAGGAACATGATCATCAATTAATTGATATTTTTCTCGTTTTGTTCTTTTTTCTGGACATTTTTCTTTGTAAAGTTAATTTTTAGTTCGAGGTAGAAACATTTTTAAACTAGACAAAGAATGTCTGCGAAATACAAAATATATGCCGACAGTTTAAAATTGACAAACTAATACACAATAATAGGTTAAAGTGTGCTCATCAGTGGTAGATCCAGCTCGCGAGCGGTATGAGCGGCCGCTCATACCTTTTATCCAAAAAAACTGTGTTTTCCCAGCAGATCTCTCTTAGAATAAATTGTTTCTATGACGACCATACGTATCTCGCACTTTTATCGTATACTGCACGTACTAAAAAATAATTCTGGATCCGCTACTGGTACTCGCAGAGTTTAATTTCAATTAATGAGACGAAATTGACTTCTGTGAGTCCTACTTTACCTTGTTACTACCTGATCCGTTTTTATACTTTCGGAAATGATTGTATCAGCATGTATCCGCGTGGATCCCGGATCCGCCTTTTTCACTTGATTGAACATCAATAAATAAAACAACTACTTTTTTACTTTCAACTGAATGGATAACTTCCACATTTCCCGTCCATTTTAGGTGCTATAAAGGTACGTTGGTTTTATTTTGAGAAGACTGGCAGTTAGAACTTGAAACAGTCGGAGTTTTGATTTTATGTTTAGTTTTCTGAGAAAATTAAGTTTTCCAAAAAAACTAGCTAAGCGATTTTCAAGTTTTTGAGATGAAGTATGTCGGAAAGGTCAAAGAGTAAACATTTAAAAATGTGGCTCTTTCAAGTTCTAGTCGTAAGTTTTGGCTACAAAATGAGACGAATGTAACTTTATCGTACGTATATAGAGCAACCATACATACTCTTTGACGCTTTTTTTTAGCATGTATAATGGAAAAATCTAATCTTGTGAGCTGAGTTTTTTATCGCGAAGTGACTTATATGAAAGCAGCGTCCGATAAAAGCTTCTTCACGATTAAATATTCTATATTGAAAGCACACTGGTTTAATTGTGTGTTTTACAAAACAAATTTTCCGTTTAATAATTTTTTTGTAACGTAAATATAAATATTATCCATCACTACACTTTTTATCATTAAATTTGTTTTTTTTCATCTTACAGACACATTTTCAATACATCCTTGTATTCGTCAGTACTTGGGTCAATTCCCTTATTAACTGTGAATATTCCTTACGGGATAAAGAATTGTCATTTTTTACTATCTTCTAAAAAGTAATATAATTGTCAATAACGATGCACAAAAAATGTATCATTCACCAGTTAGATAAAAAATAGTACCATAAAAGATCACAGATAAAAATATTGCACCAGAAAACAATCACTGTTGAGGCTGCATAAACGTATCAAATAAAGCTCAACGAATAAAATGAAAGAGATAAATAGAAATAAAAATAGTTATTCTCATTGTACATTTGATTTGGTCATATTCATTTCTATGGTAGAAAAAACATTTTTCCAAAAAGTAATCGATATGTCAATACGTTGTTTTAATGCTCTAGAATAAGATTTACCATGAGGCTGATGTTTATTAATTAATGTTTGTAATGCTATTCGACTCCGGTTCACAACCTAAGGAAGAAGTCAAAAGAAACTTAACATTCGAAATAAGAAAAAATCAAATATAAAACTTACATCTTTTGCTGTATCATTTTCTCCATATTCAACAGGATCTCCGATGTGAAGCGTAAGTTTGACAGGTATTGGAAATTGAAACCATGTACAACAAAACCAAAGTGTTTGACAAATATTACATACTAACGGCATTATGTAAGGTATATTGAACAACATGATATAAGAATATAAACGACCAATATGTAATAAATTTCCAAACCAAAAAATAGGATTAAAACGCATTTCTTCTTGATTTTGTAAAAAACATGGTATAATTGGGCAACCAGCTTTCATTGCTATAAGAGCAAAACCTTTCCCTGAATAACAAGAAAAAGTTCAATTATATACAGTTTTTATGAAATTTTTATTAGAGAGCAAGAATTTAATATATGTATAATAAAGTATTGTCTTCATCATACTTGAGCTTTTCTTACTTTTCTTTGGCCAACATACTTTGTACGCATTTTTGTGACCAATCATCGCTTCATCAACGCCTCCTGGAATCACACCACATAAATAGCCGACTTCCAAAAGAGCTTCCGCTGTTTCTCGTTCGCCTGGCAGACATCCAATTCGTCGAAGAAATGGAAAGCACCGCATCAGAAGCCGATGAAGTAATCCTCTAAAATATAAGAGAAACGAGTTGCTAAATTATATTTTGCACACATTTTTTTTATTTACCTTGTTACTCTTCCCGTCATATGATATCCAGATATTAGAATAGGTAAAACATCGGCACAATGGGTTGTATGACGGCTGATCATTAAAGCACCTTTTCCTTTTGGTAGTTTTTCTATACCAATAACTAATCAATTAAAAATCCAAAAAATTTGATATTTAATTGCATAATTAGTGCACATTGCTTACTCTCGAACGAATGGACAAAAATAAAAACATAATAACGTAAGATTGTAATTAAACGAAAAAACCAACTACGACCAATTTTATCATCAGATAAAAATGCTAACTGAGTTCGTTTAGAAAATTTTTGTGCTCTTTGTCGAACTAATGGATCTTCGATTTTGCTAATAGCGTTGCCGTTTCTTTTCATGGTTTTACTAATTAATATTAAGAGCAAACTCTAGAAAGTTGAAAATCTCAATTATATTTCAAAGATGTATAACAATTGAGTGATTGATTAGATATCTGTAATAGACAGCGTTATAATGTGGACAGATGTTGAAGTAATTAGTTATTTTTCAGACAACAGAAGTCGTCATAATTTATTAGACATCATTATCATGCTGTTGAAAGTAAGAAATATACTTTTGTCTCAAATCTTCCATACGGAAGGAGTAATAATCAAATGAAATTATTCGTACCAGTCTTTATATTATATGAGTCAAACAGAATGTGTTTTATTTTCCTACCATAAAATGATGGAATGTCACCTTTGATTGCTGTTTTTTTTGGACAATAAAGAATAACATTATTTTCGGTTAAATTTGATATTTTCTATAAGTTTATAGTGAATAAAATCAAGATGAAACAATAACGAACTTTTACAAGTACAAACAACACTTGAAAAAAAAATATCGATTAATAGACAAGAAAAAGTTCGATCTTCACATTAAAAAGATATAATTTAACGATGATTTTGTTTATTTTCCATCATTCAGTCCTGAATATAGCAAAAATAACACTTACGATAATAAACCATAGTAACACAATCACTCGACCACCTAAATCTTCGCTTTATTTAACATACATCGCACAAAGAGAGAGGGAGAGAGAAATCGCTCAAGTGGGTAGAAGAAAACGATGCAATAAAAATAAAATAAAATTTTCCATCAAGTGTGCAGTAGATTCATAAACATATCTTTTACATGAAAAAAAGGACAAGAATACATTCAAAAAGTTCCCTAAAGTGACTCTTTTTGTTGTTTCTTTTGTTTATTGAAGAAAAATAAACAGGAAATAGAAGATACTTGACGAAGGTACAACAACAGTAAGACAACATCATTTTTTTGCAACCTGCTTCATTAATAAACAATCGATCTACTTTCCATATTTTTAATAGCCACTTCTTTGATTACCTCCACCACTAACAGCTGAATTGACACCTTGACGAGCTACTTCAGCGGCGGCACCACGTACAGTCTAAATGAATCAACAATATATCGCTATTTTTAGTCCGAAAATGATCGCGTAATAAACAAGTAACTTACAGGATTATTCACGAACGCGCGTTGGAATTCTTTTTGTGCTTGCTCCAAACTTGCACCTGTTTGACGATATAAACGATGAACCTGGGAGAAAAAAAGTACATTTGCTTGTAAAGTACTTGATTTAAAATTTAAAAATATATTAAACAGCTGTAAGAAACTTTAAAGAACCCATGACATGAATGGCTCTGCCATCTAGGCAAAATCAATGACGGTATTAGCGACTCGATTGATAAAATAACTCAAGTTAGAGTTATCAGAACACCCGAAGATATCTCGTTAGAGAGTGTAGTTAATTTTATATCATAAACGTATAATAAGCTATATAATCAGAATGGTGATGATCGCATAAAGTGATTCAAAACTGTTTCATTTATACACGTTAGAATCATTTCAACTTTATAACTTTTTAAAAAATAATAGATAGAAATATTCTTCATTTACAGTCACTATTTACCTTTATTAATAGGAGGAATTCAGCAATGGCAATAAATGCGAAACATAATGTCACAATCATTACAACGATACCGGCTCCAATGGCATGACCACCTTTCGCAAACAAACTCAGCATAAGCAGAAATCCGCTGAAATGAAAAATAAATACCATAGAATAGTATCACGATTTGAGTTTTTTCAGAAAATAATTATAAATGCAGCTCTTTTGAGATTCAGACGTTTTAAGAATACATTTAGTTGTCGAAGGTAGTTCTAGAACTTTTAATACGTTCTTAACTGGGTTTTGAGCGCTGGAAATCAATTTCTTAATCTTTACTTCGACAAAGTTTAGGGAGAGCTACATACTTGCACTGATAATTTATTATGTAATCAAAGCTAATCTTTCTTTCGAAGAGCAAATAAAGTATTATTGATGCAAGCAGGGTTCCCGATCAGAGGTGGGGCAGGGGGATGTTGACCACTCCCTAAAAACATTTTTGGACTTTCTGGCAAAATCTTTGACATTTTTCCACCAGAAACTTTCTACCAAAAATTTCGAAAACTTTTTTTCATCAGCTACTTTCTGAAATTTTTAGCCCTCCCCCATCCCTAACAACAACCCAAAACCCTGAATGCAAGTGAGCCACATCAAATAAGCAAAGCAGAATAAATTGTGTTTTGTCGAGTACAACCTACCACGAAACAACATCAATGACCAAACGTGTATTGGATAGAATAAAAGTTAAGTTCATAAAGAAAACTGTCCAGAAAAAAATATGCTGTCATTTCTAAAAGCCGAAAAAAAAGTGCAACTATAAATCTAACATGCAAAAATGTGCTTGATTAAAACAAGAAAATAGGTTCTTTTTCTCGATGGCATCACACTTCGGAACTAGACAGAAACTGTAATAAATGTCCGTAACTACGAAAACTGTGCTCTGACTGATTTAAGACAACAAATTCAGTGAAATATTACAAGAAAGATAGCCATCTGTTATGCAGAAAAATGGAGAAATTTCAAAATAGTTTCACGTGAAACAGTGAGTAAAGGAAAATGGAACTAAACCGGTTGCAAAAAGATCTGCTGTTGATACTTAGTCTATACCAGCTGCCTCAGTCTGTAACGCCCAAGAATTGTATTGCTGATATGATACATTGCATGAAGAATACAAAGAAAAATATCACAAATGTAAACGAATCGTCTTTACTAAAGAAAAGACATGATACTTTGGGAAGGTATCCTCACTTCTGCAGGTCGAAAATCATGATAGCTAATAACTTGAAACTTTAGTCGAATGCAGATCTTCTTCTATACTGATCATCTAAAGGTGCACGGTTTCCAAGATATCGTCATTTTTCTTAGTTTTTCACGAAAATACAAGCAAATAACTTGGCAGACAAAAGAATAAGTCTAATTGAAAGAGATCTTGGTTTCCAACTTCATGCTTAAATCTCAAAATCGACTTTTTCGAAGGAAGAGCCTAAAATCAGCATTTTCCTATAGGCTCAAACAGATCAGATCCATACAGATAGCGTCTGTTCATTCGAAACACATGTCAAAAAAGACACCGTAGAGGAAATTAAACGACAGACGATTTTAATTTGTAGATTTTGATTTTTAACCCAGTGTAAAATAAAACCGATATTTATCACGCAAAGTCTGAAAAATATGCCCGACCACTAGTCTCATTATTGATCAAATATAATTCTTGAGCGATTCAGACTTGTAAGCTAAAAGTTGTATCATAACAACATGCCCTTCGATCTATAAACAGTTTGGTTAAATCGGATGCAACGTGTATGAAAAAGCTTTCTGAAAGGGTTCAAATATTATTTGTTTGTGAAAGGGGATCCTTCCTTAAAATACGCATGCAAGAAAAGAACGGAAGCAACTATAAACACACATACTGATAATAATAACTATTTAAGAACATGCAATGTAGTTAGTAGCAATAGAGATCTCTTTACCACGTTCCCCAACCACTAACGCCAATAAATTGTAGAACGGATACGATAAGTTGAATGAAGAAAATGAAGAAAAATACCATAAAGTTAAATGCACTGTCCTCTCTAAATAAATTAAAAGTAAAGAAATTTTTATGCTATCAGCGTACAAAGTTCGTTTTTCATCAAAAGAGTAAAGGAGTTGCAGTAATATTACACGCATACAAACATTGTTAATACAAGACAAATTCAGTTTTAGAAAGCCGTGCTCTATCTCCCACTATTTACCAAAAACCTGTATCTTTCCATCCGAATGTCATTAAAATAGTAATAACAAATTGAATAAAAAATATGAAGAAAAAGATCATAAAATTCATCGCGTTATCTGTTCTAAAGAGACAGGTGGCAAATAGATGAGCGCTCTGCCAAAATAGAAAGATTAATCTGACCTGAATGCTTTGTAGATTGGTCGAAACCAGCAGATGCTAAAAAATAAACAAACAGTGACATATTAACTTCGATCGGTCGAAAAATACATAAATGAATAACTTACTAAGAACACGGTGTAAATAAAACAAAATAGAGAATCGATAAACCAAATGTCACTGCTCCACCTTTGTCAACAATTAAATAAGCTAATGCACCAATAATGTTCAGTCCTAAGGTGGCTGAATAAACTAAAAGAAGAAAATAAACTGACTTTTCATGCTCTAAAATAATATACAAAATACATACTTATCCATAAATAAAACAAATATCGAACCCACGTTTGAAATTCATTGGGTATTTCCACCTAAAGGAGAAAAGAACTGTAAATCCATTGTGACACCATAAAACAACAATTATCATACGTTAATATCTTGATAAAAACAAGGTCTGAACGGACAAATCTTTGGAATTGGAGGAAAATTATTATCTCGTCCTAATAAAAAGAGAAGTAAATGAGCTATCGTTATATTTTTCCAAAAAAGATTCTCATCGAATGCTTAATTTAATTCTTTTTGATCAATATTTCATCGAAAAACTTTCTACATACGTCCTGTTGTTGAATTTTTCAATTCTCTTTCACGTTCCATTAATCTCTGTTCACGACGATCAAGATCTTGCTGTTGACGTTCTAATTGTGAAAAATCAACACGTGCCGTTGTTTGTTGTTGTGATGAGATTGGTGTTGATACTGATGCGTATGAAGGTGGTGGGATAGGAGGCGAAGGTAAAACAGCCGGTTGAACAACTGTCTAGAAAGAAAAGTGATATAAGCATTTTCATGCTTATGAAATACAGTTTTATCTGGTCATCCTTACTCGAGCCGGTACGGTCGCGTTGGTAAATGGATTATACTCATTCAACGTTTGTTGATTTGTACGCGATTGTGCCGTTGCTTGTCGAATCGAAGCATCCTAAGAAAGAAAGGAGACAGGGTCATTAAACAGCAATTATTAAAAAACATCAACCTACCGCGAATGGATCGGGCTGAGCAAAAGGATTATTATCGTCTTCCATAGTAGAATCGAATATCTGGAACAAGGAAATTTCGGAAACATAAAACGATCAACATTCTCAAACTAACTTCAAAATGACTTCATCGCACTGAAACACAAACAATGTAACTGATTGTCGTTCGTTTTTCTACCAGTTAGAAAAGGGTCTAATTGGTTATTTAGGGGGGAGATAAAATGTGCTAGACGCTTTTTTCGTAACAAAAATAGTAAAATTTCACTTCAATATTCGAATATCCCTTTATATAAAAACAGCCACTCAAGCTCCTGAACGGTTTAAGTCAGTCCGAAAGTCAAACTAGCCAGATCAGCATATACATCAATTAGAATACTAGCGACACAATGTACTTTCAAAAAGAAGAGAACGTTAGCATAGCAGTGTAAAAAATATGATATAATAACAATTTAAACAGCTTCTCAAGCAAATTAGATTTTTCTATAGTTCGGAGTGCTTCTAGCTTCAGCATTTGAGATAGGTTTAGCAACGTCAGAGCACAAGTCACTCTGATGACTGAGATATCAGTCAGAAAAGCAACTAGTAGGAATACGATCGTCGGGCGCTAAAGTACTATTAGTCAATGCATATATTGGACTGGTACTCATTCAAGTGTATACGTATATGAATGATTGAGTCATCTCTCTCCCTTTTGTCACTTCGATCGACTTCGATCGTTCGTTCGGCTTTTTATGATTTATTGATTCGCTATTTTTCACCCATATAGATAATATTGTGCTTGATTAATCCGATCAACTCTAGAGAGCTAAGATTTATTCTATAATTAATAACTAAAAAGCTCTTTTGTTAGAAAGCCAGATCAGGGTTGACACCAATAGTGAGTAATGGCGCTAGTTGCTGGCATTCATCTAATCAGGGATGTCGCAAATCGACAGGAGTACCTGGATTTTTCTACTAAAATTGCTAGGTAAGTTTTGAATAAAACCTTCGTCAGCAGGCTACCATATTCAAGAACCTACTAAACATCTCACTAAATCGAAAAAGGGTAATTCTTTTGGAACTGTCCCACATTTACGTGAAGGTTTGCCGCAAAAATCGCGACGTATCTCATTTGAAAGAGCATTTAATTCTGAGTAAGAATGAGCCATTTAAAAAATTTTAAAACATCGGTATGGGGTTCCGGGAAGGTCCGACATTTGGGGATTTTTTATGTTCCAAGACGCAACTCATACCTAATTATCTGAGAAATGATATGTGCATCACAACTAATATGTGCATCATATTGCTCGTGGTCAATTCAATCTAGAAATGTGACTTTTGTTTTCCGCATCGCTCCTGTAAGCCTGCTGAGAGCCACATTTCACAAGCATTACGCTACTTATTTGATTTTTGATGGTCCCCAAGCTATTTTTAACTATGTTTTCCCCATTTTTGTTCATCCTAATGCACATTTTCGGACTGTATACCTCTTAAAACATATGAATCAACTGAGATCCCAATACCTTATCTGCGGTTTCTGAGGTATAGGTCTTTGAAATCCTGGGTTTTTCAGAAAGCCTATCAACTGCAAAGTACATCGAAACTTTCTTTTCAACATACCATTAGACAGAACGTTCATTTCTCTACAAAATGACAAAATGCATTGCTGAGCCAAATGAAATCGCATCAAACACTAGAAAAGCGCTCATTAATGGCTAAAAGATGCGTGATTTCACTGATATTGTTGTACAATAATTCTAGCTCCAACTCCGTCATTCTTTAGCTTATAAGCGTGGAAAATTTCTGAGAAGATTAGGTATGAGTTGTGTCTTGGAACCTATAAAATCCCCAAATGTCGGACCTTCCCGGAACCCCATGCCGATGTTTTAACATTTTTTTAATGACTCATTCTTACTCAGAATTAAATGCTCTTTCAAATGAGATACGTCGCGATTTTTACGGCAAACCTTCACGTAAATGTGGGGCATTTTCGAAAGAATTAGCCAAAGTTTTAGAAGCTTCTTCGGTCAAAACCAATTGCAGATTCGCCTTCTACATAGCCGATTGTCTTATACACGATAGCTTTTGGATCAGGATACTTCAAAAAAAAGTTGCTAATGTTCTTGCTCAAAAATTTTCGAAAAGTCACTGCATGGGACCAGAGTCAAAACGATCTCGACAATTTTTTCTGAAGTGCTCGACCCAAGAGTTATCGCATACAACCTAAGTCCACTTTCTTGCTTCATTCACGTCGCAAACGCGATCCTCGCACCGCGATCGCGTTGAAATCGCGTTACCTGTGCCACGATCCCTGAAAAGTCGCTGTTGTCGCGGCGAAGAAGTCTTGCTTTTCGAAAATTAGCGTCTTATTTCATGAGTCTTACAGTGAACGCGTTACGCGATCCTGCCAAGAATTTTTAAAGAAACTCGCGTCGTGCCATGTGATAAGAAAGTGGACTTGGGAGGCTAACCGACTATGCACGATGCACGGTGTCCTTGCATGATTCACATACTGTTTTCTTCAAACGTTTTGATTTTCTCGAGAAACATGAATATAATGTAGCATGAAATGAAATTTTATAAAAAAATTAAAGGTTTTGACTATTTTTGCCACTGATCATCAGTGGCAAATTTGGAAGATATGTCTGTTTTTCCGTTTTGTAGAAAGAACGACATGGTGTCTGCAGAACTGTCATGATCAGTGGGAGGTTCTGGAGATGACCGCTACCCAACAATTCAAAAATTGTTGCTTTTTTCCAGCAAGAAAGAAAGCAAAAGGCTTCCATTGTAACGTCCATTGTCTCCATCCAAAAGTCTGAAGGTCCTATGTATCGGCAACAAACAAATAGTGCAGTTCTCATGAGATATATCATTATAAACATGATCGCATTATGGCGTAGATGAAATATTTAATATGCATAGAACGAGTTAGTTTTCCTGAGTCCGTTTTTCGACGAAAAATATTTCGCATCCCCACAAGTTAATTATCCATTTGTATGGTGCTACGACAAAGTTGAATGCCATTAAGATGCGTCGCGCAAGAATGCGAAACGTTTTTGTAATTTACGGTTTACTAACTATTGAGTGTTCTTGATTAAATAGCACTCTTAGTTATTTCTTCCACAATTTTTTTTGGTTATGTTCCAACTCTTGATTATTTTTTTTATTAAATGCGTCGTCAGCTGCTGCTCTACAAAAACATAAGGAACATATTTTTGTAGACCTCAAAAATAAAAAGTTAGAGGAAATACTGTGAAACTTGAATCTCCACTACTTCATAAAAGACACTTTTGTCAATTTTATATTTTGCTACATAAAACAAAGAATATGGCCGTTTTGCAGTACTTCAAAAGCTCTATCAACTGACTAAATTTAAAAGCCCTTATAATCACAAAAGATTGAAGGAGAGTCTTTGTCTTTTATCGATTTTGCCCAAAATTATCATTTCTAAACTGCAGTTGTAGAGCACTTATGAAAATTTTTATAACTCAGCCAAAATCAAACATTGTGAGGTCGGATTTATTTTATCAAAAGATTTTTCTGCTATATCCAAAGAAAGAAAGTTCAATAGCTTCATTTCTTTTCCATCCTTAAAGCCAACAAGACAAATTTTCATCTTTTTTTGGTAAGTTTTAACAAAATCGCATTTTGTATCGAAAGAATAGGTTCAAATCGAACTGATGATACACAGAAACATAGGTGACACTTCAGAGCACCAGAACACCCATTTTTGATTTTACTTTCAAGAGACCGTGTTCAAAGTTGTTGGATTCTATACAGCATGTTTTGTTGGAGGGAGAGTTAATTGTGCTCATATTGACAGTGAAGCATATTTTAGAAAAGTGGAGCTAGTGCAGACTACCAATTTCGCAAGCTCTCTTTTTTTTGTAAAAATCTCGTATTTATTACTCTTTTTTGTTTTAGACATAGCTAGACTATGTGCCTTATACCACGTGTCTACGACTGGAATAGGTCTTGCATGTACTTACAACTAAAAAATTGAAGGTGCTTTGTAGATACTTTCTACAGCAAAACATTTCGAAACAGAAATGGGAGAATAAAAAAATAATAAATCTTTCTCTTTTAAAGAGCCTCACGTTTCAGACTACTAATCTGACTTTGAAAGCTCAAGGAAGCAGCTTAGATTCCGCCAGTTGGAGCATTCAGTGCTCCTACAGACGGAAAGTCGCTAGAATTGAAAGTGCTTGTTTTCTGGACAAGAGGGCTCACCTCTGCTTTTGGCTTCAGAAAAGAGCACCAAAATCAACGATTAGTTCTGCAACTGTTAGAGGGTTCTTGAATCACACTCTCGTTTTCCACGAGAAGCGTTTACTATTGATAGACACATCTAGTGCCTTCCAGAAAGACGCTTTACAGTATCTTTTTTCGATCGGACCTATATGTTTTCCTGTAAAGCACACCTTCTTAGAATGTAATGACTGGTTCTGAGACTCAGTAATAATAATATAGAAGATAATCTGGGCTGCAAAATAAGACTACTTCTATGAGTTAATAAGCTTTAGCTTAAAACTCTAAAAAACTTTCGAGTACTGTGGAGTAAAAGAGTCAGTGCACGAAATTTTTGTCGTAATTTCACTGTTTCTCATCCATTTTTAATCGAACAAATTCGATATTAACCACGTTGGTACAAGCGATAATTCTGCACGCACTAGTGCAAAAATTCCCTGAAAAATCATGTTGGTTTTCCAGATATATTCAAATGGGAGTTGAGTGGTTTTGATTGACTTTTTTTACCCCATATGAGGTAAAAAGAGTCAGCTCACTTATATCGATGGGGTAAAAAGGGTAAATCCATTCAAATACATGGAGATTTTTTCAAAGCTTCGTAGCTCATTAACGATGAATGCTAATTAATTAAACATTATATCATTGTGAAACTCTACTCTGCCTCTATCGAACCATATAATTTTGATCTTCACATCTGTTACCTTCATTAAGCTAATTAGACCACAATAAAACGTGTCATTTTTTAGATTTTTGTCTTTGGGGTAAAAAGAGTCACTCGTTCATTTTAATGAGGTAAAAAGAGTCAATCCGTTGAAATCCAT